TGAATGTGCTTCTTTGTATCAGATCCATAAATTATTTTCGTATTCAAAATAGATTTGACACCACTTAAGAAGCGTTTCATTTTATTTTCTGTCAAATGTTTGACTTCCTTCAAAGCTTCATCAATTTGATTTGGTTTCAGCAATTTCGAGATTGTTTCTAAACATTATCACTTGGAGTCTTTGCTTTTTCTATCAAATCGTTCCTTAATTTCGTTTGATGATCCCAACAACATCACTTATGATTCGTTTATAAAGAGTATTATTTAAAATATCTATGCATTTTGTGTAAACCTCATTGCTGTGTGTTAGATGTTAAGAATTTTCGGAGAAGATCCTTCCTCATACTTGCGCACGCAATTATTATTAAACAAGTAACGTTAGGCGAGTTTTGTGATCATGCTAAAATATGAATTTTTATTCAGAGTGTGGGTGTGGATGATTGGGAGTAAAACGAAGGATGTTCTTCGCCAACTCTCATCTATGCGATAATCTTCATCCTATGGAATAAGTTCTTATCCGATATATATCAGCATATGATTATCTATTGACGGAAAAATATAACTTCTTTGAAAATTTTACTGACTTTTTTCAAGAATAAGTAAAGGGACAAAAACAGATTCATAAAATTGATTTTATTATTCTTTCCTAAATCTATCGAATAGAAATTCTGAGTAGCTATGTAAAATTCGGGTATCGATCTTTGTATTATTCAAAATATATTTATAATGCTATCAGAGAAAAAGTCTTATATCATTATCAAAGAAGTAACAGAGTTTTTGGTAGTGATGCACTCAGAAAAGCTAAAACATGTCGAGAATGCAAGAACAGTTTTTTTGAGTGATGTGCCTAAAAATTCACAGAATCCTTTCTTCTATAATAGTTGTAAAAACTAAGTAAGTCATCGATTGATTAAACTCTCAGATAGCCAAGTAAGTATGGGTACTAGATTTTTACTCTTCATATTTAATTTGAAGATGCTTCTCTTGTAAATTAAGTATTTCAACAAGGCAACAGATTTAGAAACCGATTTTTGTAGCATTTTCACGTTTTAATTAAAGCTAAGCACAAATAATATTTCATTGAAACCTGTAACATCGATTTCTGTAAGTTAATCTATGATAATGAATAAATTCATTCTGTCTCTAAAATACTTGCAGACTTTTAAATCTATACGAATTTTACTATTGAATACACAAGATACTGGTCGTATCAACATCATCAATAGATTTTTCAAAGGAAAATACCTAAGATTCAAGTCGTTCTCAATCTGTCTAAATGACATTCATTACATTGAGTAATTTCCAAACAAGAAATAAAAAGTTGTGTTTCTATTTTATCATGTCAATGATAATCATTCTCATTTTAATTATTATTTTTTGTAAAATATACTCTATATAGAATACAAAACATGCACTTATTGTCAGCTTATCTAATATTTTCTCAATTAAATAGATTTAAATATTGAAGTAATCATTAATAAAAAAAAGTTCTGTTTCATCAACGAAAATAAAGAAATAGCAGCGAGAAACATAAATTAAACTAATTTGGTAACTTCAATGTAAAATGTAATAAAATTTCGAGCTCTAATAAATGTACTAATCTTTTTTTTCAGTTGTATCGACGTATGATTTTGGGAAATTAGTTTCACTGAAATTGTTTACATAGCTACAACTTACCAAACATATATCACTACCATTTCCAAATATTGGATCAAATGTACTGTAATGACGAACTGCGTTTCCTACTTCAGTAGGAACGATGCGGTATATATTTGATGGAATACCCTGAGGATTGGTCAAATTGAATAAAAATGCTGCTTCAACACTCTTGTTGGAATTATCCGAAGTCCATGGTATAGCTGTAAAAACTCCAAAAAGATAATTGTTATTTGATAAAATAATCGTCATTGTTGGTCCTTGATTATCACAACGTGAATGAAATGTTTTTGCATCAAAGT